TGCCCACGAGGATTCCAGGGAAAGCACCCCTCCCCCACCCCTGCGGGGAGGGCGGGCAGGCATCGGACTCTGCCCTCTATGTCAAAGGAGCCGAGGCGGCCACCTGTGTGTGCACTGTGGGTTAATTACAGTCCCCTGGGCCTTGAAGGAGAACGGCTGCCCTAGGAGGTGTGGACTTTGTCAGAAGGCCACGTCCAGCCCAAAGGCCTTGGGGACACAGTACAACCTGTTCTGCAGCTGGACCATGGGCACTTCAGGGTGTGTGAGTTGACCCGCCCTTCCCTGGACCGCTGATGAAATGGCTTTCCCTGGCAAACTCAGGCCCTCGTGGCTGCTGGGACTGCAGTTTGGAGAATGGCTCAAGGGGGACCAGCAGTTAGCATAATGGTTATGTTGCTGGACTCCCACGTAGTCGACTGCGGTTCGAGTCCTAGATCCAGTGGCTTAAACTCACGCCGGGGGCATGTGTATGTGTGCTCAAGATCCTGAGAGGAGAACGGGGGAGAAGGTGCTGCGGCGTGGCCATCCTCCCTGGGGGGTGATTTCTTGCTTTCTGTCTCTCTGTCTCTCTCTTTCTGGCGAGCGGACGTGTCCCATAGCAAAAACCTCTCCAAAAAAATATAAAAAAAAAGAAAAGAATGACTCAAGGGCTGCCCTCCCAGGGCCACGGCGAAGCCAGGCCTACATAATGGCCGACAGCAGAGGCCCTGACACGAGGCAGCAGCCGAATCCCACAGCCGAGGGTGATGGCTGTGGGGCCGGCTTGGGTGTTCTGTTCATCGTGACCTGCAGCCAAGTGTCCCTTTGCTAAGAACAAAAGTGCCAAGGGGTACAGCACTGACTACAGGCCAGTGAGAGGATCGAGGCTCACTGCTGACAGGCAGGAATTTCCTTCTTTTGGTTTGGCTCCCACCATAGGGCACATGCGCTCACCAGAGAGAGACAGAGAGGGGGAAAGTGAGAAACATCCACCACGGGGGATGACCATGCTGTAGTCCCTTCCCCCTCCATTCTTGTCCTGGGACTGGGGGCATGCACCCAGTATGATCTTCAAGCCACCAGGTCCAGTACTCAAACCATGGATGACCATTTGGAATCCAGATGCTTTAACCACTATGCCACTCACTGGTCATGAAAACTCATTTTTGTAAAAAGCAAAGGTAAAGGAGATGTGAACTCCAGACCTAGAGGCCACCTGAGGCGTAGCCCACCCTGTGCCCACCTAGGGAGCTCTGGAGGGGCTCACCACTCCTCTGTGATCCGGGTCTGCAGCTCGGGCAGCAGGAACTGCCGGTGGAAGCGGTAGATGGAAGAGATGTTGGAGAAGATGCCCGTGGTGACTTCCGGAGGGATCCCTGCTTCTGTCAATCTGGTGCGGAAAACCTGGGCACAGAGAAGCCCACACGATGGCCACCGCACGTTGCCCACTGCAGACAGTCAGGACAGTGCGTCTGCCGCAGGCAGGCTGCTCACCAGTGCTGCGGCACTGTGTGTTTTCCTAATGAGCTTCAGGGCCACTGTCCTCCCCTCTCATGAAGTTGGTTCAGACAACTACTCTTACTGCAAGCTTTCTTGTCGCTAAGGATTATGGGTGAGGCAGGGCCCCAAGGACAGGGGCAGGACATATTTCCTCATTCACCTCTCAAGGGCGCTAGCGTGCCCAGATTTCCTCCTCTACCTTATGAGATGCAAACAGAAGCAACACACCCTGTGAAACCCGGTTTCCCCTGGTGCTTTATTTCCTGGGTGTGTAAGGTCCGTGTGGACAGGGATGCATGGCACCCACACTTCAATCATGCAGCCATTTACATGCTCAAACTAGGCAACTGCTGAGAGGAAATGTCCCAAAGGGTGACCAGACAGAACCTTTGCTCCAGGGCCACACACTCTGCAGGCAGAAAACAAGTTTAGACCAGGCTTACGTTTGCCCGAGTGCTAGTATGTGAGCCATCTGCACACTGCCTATAACGCCCAGCCAGTGCTGGGAGGTAGAGCGTTGGTTTGCCTATGAAACGCCCACTAAAATCCTGGAAGTGGACAAAGGCAGGCCCCCAGCAATGTAGGCTACCTGGTCCAGCAGGTGCAGCCGCCTCACGTAGGCCTCTTCAGTGTGCAGGAGCTCCTGGGCAGTGTGGAGCAGCTTCTGGGAGTCAGAGCTCTGTGGAGAGAAGACACAGGCTCATCTGGGGAAGGCGAGCCTGGAGAGCAGCAGCTCACTGAGCCCCTGCTGTGGGCTGGACGGCCAGGGGCCACAGAAGGCAGAAGACAGTGGGACAGGATGTGGTGCTCAGCTCCCATTGGCGGCATTTCTAGGCAGGTTTCTGGGAAAGCATGACCATGTCTGCTGATCCCCCCCAAAGCCCCTGCAGCCCTGAGGGGGCTCCACCCTCCCAGAGCTGCCCACGGAGCAACTGCAGTGGCCACATCTAAAAGCCTTCAAGTCATGTCACCAAGACGGACCAGGAAGTGGTAGACCCTCTTCCCCCAGCAGACACTGTTAGTAACAACGTATAGACCGGACACCAGCTGAGAAGCTATGGCACCCAAGCCAGTGGAAAACCCAGAGGAGGTCCCAGCAAAACATGAAGAAAACTTGATGGCGTTGGCAACCCTGACAAAAGCAGGGCCATTTATAAGCCAGAGAAACTCATTTCTCATAGCTCCAGTGGCTTGAGTCAGAGTCTTGCAAAGAAAGGCTCAGTAGTGCCTCCATGATGGTGCCCTGAACGATGTACCCTCACGTGGTGGGACGGATGCAAGGAACAGAAGAGCCAGGAGGGACGAACACTGTGTCCTCGCATGGAGGAAGAGCCCGAGACAATACATCCCTTTCTCCCTCTCTCCCATGAAGGCTCCTTACATTTCTCCTCAAGGTCCTACCACTTCATGCTAACTCACTGGGGATTAAGTCCTGGCACAAAAGTTTTGGAGGACACTTCAGACCCTGGCAGGCCCCTCTGCTCCTCCCCCTACAGCACCAGGACACTCCTGCAGGGCAGAACCATGGGTTCAACACTCTGGCTTGCCTGGGGCTGCCTGAGTCTCTCTCTCCCCAACTAGAGAGCTGATGAGACAAGGCCAGAGTTAGACAGCCCCTGAAAATAAGACCGGCAGCACCTCAGCCCTTCCATTCTGCAGGAGAAGTCAAGGGAGCAGGACACCAGAGGAGGTGCCGGGGTCCCAGACCTCCTGCTGTTGATTGGCATGGATGTTCTCCTGCGTGAGGCAGCCTGCAAAGACTGGGAGGAGTGGTTTTTGTTTGTCTGATTTGGTTTTTTCAAATGTCGAAATCTCAGCAGAGAAAAACTTTCTACAAGGCATGCAAAAACAAAACAAAAGAAAGAACAGAAAAACAGGCCCAATAAAGGAACAAAATAAAGCCCCAAAACTGATCCTGAAGAAACTAACTGTAAACTGTTGGAGACAAAGTTCTAAACAGACATCGTGAAGGTGCTCTGCAAGCTGAACAGGAATCCAGACAGAGAGCTCCGGGATCAAGAGGGCGGCCCCAGAGCACACGGTGTGAGTAGACTGACACCCATGGGCTCTCGGGTCGTGTCTCATCCTTGCCGGCAAAGCCTGGGCGTAGAATGTAGTGTGGATGCCCTGTTGGGCCCCACACACTTCTTTCTCTCTCTCTCATGGAAGAAATACATAATTTTTTTTTTTAAAAAAAGGAAATATGATACAGCAGCAGAATGAGAGTATCAGCAGACAAAAACTACAAAAGAGAATGAAACAGACATTCTGGAGCTGGAAAGTAACTGAGCTGAGAAATTCATAAAAGTGTCCGACAGCAGACTTGATCAGGCAGAAGAAAGACTCGGTGAACTCGAAGAGAGGTCGTGTGAAATCATACAGTCAGGGGAGCAAAAACGAGGCAGAAAAGCAAAGCAGAAAGAGCTGACAGTACTTATTAGACATCGTCTAGCAGACCGCCTGCACACAGGACTCCCACGGGAGAAAGAAGGGGAAAGGGGAACGCGTGTATGTGAAGAAATAATGACTAAAAATTCCCAAATTTGAGGAAAGACCTGGACACACAAATTCAAGAAGCTCAAAGAACTCCAAGTAGGACAAATGAAAAGAGCAGCACACAGAGACGTGTTGTCTTGAAACTCTCTGAAGTCAAAGTCAAAGAAAACAGTGAAGGCAGCAAGAGAAAAGCAGCTTGCTCTTCCAAGGGTGCTTCCAGAGTATCAGAGGGCTTCTCAGGGAAAACTTCGCAGGCCAGAAGGGAGTGGGACGATGTGCTCAAAGTGCTGAAAGAAGAAAATCAACGACCAAGATACTGTATCTATCAAAACCGTCCTTCATAACAGACACAAAAATGGAAAATTATCTGCTGAGGATAATGTGCATGGTAATAGCTCCGACGGGACCAACATTCAGTGTGTAGTGTACTCATGCTGGAAAAATCATTCTGTATGCCGTAAAGATGTGCAGTGATTGAATGTAAAAAAATGAAGAAAGGAAGGAAAAACAACTGTCTTTCAAAAATTCAGGAGAAATTCAGACTTTTCCAATAAGCAAAAGTTGAGGGAGCTCATCACCATTGGACATGCTCTACAAAAAATGTAAAGGGAGTCCTTTACGGTGAGACTAGATGATGTGAAAGCCACATCATGATATAGGCTCTTTAGTAAAGAGGACTGTGAGGGGACTTCAGAAACATTCATGAGCCGCCGCGCACCCTGGACGGGGGCCGCCGCCCGGGGCTCATGCCCCTGCGCACAGCCGCGCACCGTCAAACGGCCGGCCCCCCTCCTGGGGGCCTCATGCGCCCCGGCGTTCAGCTGCCTCTCCAGGGCCGGCATGTGGCCTTTGGATCAGCAAGCTGAAGCGGAAAACAAGGATTGAGAACTTGCAACTGTAAGCAACAGAAAGAATCTCGAGCTGTCTTAAACTAGTTGAGAAACATATTATATAGAAGGACTTCCTCTGACTATGGACAGTGAGAAGATGATGGTTACCAGCCCTACATTGCCTCAGGGAAGAATAGGAACTACTCTACCATTCTCCAGGAAGCCAGATACCCGAGGATAGCTCACGCTGTAGAGCCCCACGGCACCATTCCTACAATGGCGGATCCGCACGAGACCCACCCTTGATCCAACATTGAATGGAATCTATGATCCCTATTGTTGAAAACTTTAAACTTGTGGCCCTTCTCCCTTTACTTGCAGGTATCACATTTTCAATGGTTCCCCTGGAAGACAACTGTATATAGCAGAGATAGTGTAATGCTCAGGGAATGGGTTTTAGGTAATAAAAAATTAAAAAAAAAAAAAAAAGTTGCAGGAGGAAAAAAAAAAGGCACATTGATGAATGCAGCGAGCTGTATGGGCACAGTTGGGTATTACTTTATAGTATGTTCATTCTACTCACCGGGGTTTATGCCTAGGGTCAGACTAGGATACATGTGTAGGTTTGTGTCAGCTGTGCTAGGTAATGGATTTATTTAGACTAATTAAGTTCATTGGCAGAACAATTGAATGGGGGGGAGGAAGGGATGGAGGGCAACCATGGATGCCAGGGGAAAAGGGGGGGGAAGGTGGGACATAGCAGAGGGTGGGGGATGGGGAATCAGGGATGGCAAGACAAAGGGCAAGGTATGCAGGACGTAAGAATTGGAAAATTATTTGCTGAGAACATATATGTGGATGTACTTGATTGAGACAATGCACAGTGTATTTTGGATGGAAAATTCGTTGGGATGGTGTAAAGTGAATAAATAAATAAATAAATAAATAAATAAAAAAGAAAGCAAGCATAGATACCAGAGACAATGTGGGAGGAGAGTGGGAGATGGCAGAGGGTAAGAGATAGGGAATCAAGGACGAGGGAAAAAGAAAAAGAAAAAAAAGAAAAACATTAGGAAATAAGAAATGGAAAATTATTTGTTGATGATAACATGTATGCTGATGTGCTTGATTGAACCAATATACAGCGTAATCTGGATGGAAAATCTCATTTTGCATGTTGTAATGATGTACAGTGAATGAATGTAAATAAATAAATTTAAATTAAAAAAGAACATTCATGAAAAAAAGAATTTAAAAATAAAAAAACATTTTTCACGGCAAGTTTCATCAAGTTCAAGACACTTTCGTAAGCAATGAAACCAGCCATTTTGTCCTGGGAATTTAATTATGTCAACACAGTCTTTTTCACATTAACTGAAGAAAAATGGGTGCCCTCAAAGATGTTTTTTGTTTGTTTTTTAAATTACTTATTCAATTTTATTTATTTATTCATTTATTTTTCAATTTACCAGAGACAGGGACCAGCAGTTAGTGTAATGGCTATGTCACTGGACTCCCATGTAGGTGACTGCGGTTCGAGTCCTGGACCCGGTAGCTTAAACTCACACCGGGTGCATGTGCATGTGTACCTAAGATCCCGGGAGGAGAATAGAGGAGAAGGGATTGCGGCGTGGCCATCTCCCCTGAGAGGTGATTTATCGCTTTCTCTCTCTCTCTCTCTCTCTCTGTCTGTCTTTCTAGCGAGTGCACGTGCCCTATAGCAAAAACCTCTCCCCCCCCCCAAAAAAAAGTGGTGTAATGAAAAAAAAAATTTACGAGAGAGAGAAGAGCAAAAGTGGGAAAGCAAGTCACCGGGTCCAGGACTCAAACCACAGTCAACCATGTGGGAATGTCCAGGGCCTTAACCACCATGCCACCTGCTGGTCCCCTCAAAGATTTTTTTAAAAAAGAATTATTTTATTTAACTTTATTTATTTATTTTAATTTGACCAGGGAGAGACAGAGTGAACGAGAGAGAGAGAGAGAGAGAGAGTGAGAAAGCAAGCCTCCAGGTCCGGGACTCGAATTGTGGTCAGCCATGTGGGAGTCCAGCGTCCTTAACCACCACGCCACCTGCTGGCCCCTCAAAGATGTTTTTAAGATTAGGAAACAAGAAGAAATCAGAAGGAACCAGATCAGGACTGAAAGGTGAATGCCTGCTGAATTCCCATTGAAACACTTGCCCTTGTTTGGTGAGAGGATGAAGCAAGAAAACGTCTTGGAGAAGGACTCTGGTGAAGCTTTCCCAGACGTTTTCCTGCTAAAACTTTGGATAACTTTCTCAGGATACTCTCATAATAAGCAGATGTCATCAGTCTTTGGCCCTCCAGAAAGTGAACAAACCAAATGGTTGAGCACCTTAAAAAAAGTTGCTATGGCCTTTGTTCTTGACCCATCTGCTTGGCTTTGACTGGAATGCTTCTACCCCTCGGTAGCCACTGCTTTGACTGTGTTTTGTGTTCAGGATAGTACTGGCAAAGCCATGTGTATCTGTGACAATTCTTCAAAGAAACGCTTCTGGATCTGGATCCTACTCATTGCAAATGTCCATGGGATGGTCTGGGCATGGTTTGGCACCCACTGAGCTCAACGTTGATTTTTCTACCATAATTGTACAAGCTGGAAAATCAAGATGCCCGTGGTGTTGGCTATTGTTTCTGGTGTTAATCATCGGTCCTCTTCAATTAGATCATGAACAAGGGTCATTTTTCCCTCTCAGATTGATACAGATGACCTGCCACTGTTGACATCATCTTCACCATCATCTCGTCCCTTCTTAAATGAAGTCATCCATTTGTGAACTGCTAATTTCTTTAAGGTGTCCCCACAAGCCTTTTGTAAAGCATCAGTGGTGTCACCATGCTTCCACCCATGCTTCCTCATCAATTTGAAGTCTGTTCTTGCTTCGATTTGAGCGGAATCATGTTGCTCTGATAGGGGCTCTTTTCAAATTCATGTCTTATCCTTCTTAGAGCCTCAAACTTGATGCGGTTCGGTGTGTTGTAACAAGTAGCACAAGTTTATGATGGTGCAAAACGTTTTTAAATCCATGCAGTGTTTTCGTAATACTCATTTTCCATAAACTTTCTGAAAACCCCTTGTAAAATGATAAAAGGGCTAAGTCACTAAGAAGATATAATTATTATAAATATCTATGCACCTAACCCCCGAAATCTGAAGTATATGAAGCAAACTTGGGCAGAAGTGAAGGGACAAAGAGACAGCAACAAAACAATAAGAAGAGACTGCAGTACCCCACTTTTGGGACCAGCAGGAGGCGTAATGGCTATGTCACTGGATTCCCATGTCGCTTTCTGGAGAGCGCATGCGCCCTATAGCAAAAACCTCTCCAAAAAAAAAAAAACCAAAAAAACACTTTTGATAATGAATGGAACAACATTATAGACAACTGAACCTGACAGGCAAATTTAGAACACTACCCCACGATAGGATAACATCCGTTCCTCTCAAATGTGCATGGAACATTCTCCAGGATAGATCACATGCTAGGCATAAATCAAGTCTTAACGCATTGAGAAGATTAAAGTGGTATCAAGTATCTTCTCCAGTAGGATGAAACTAATTGGTAATACAGTAAAATCGCCAGAGAGATCCAGCCCGGCGGTGCAGCTGGTTGCTTATTGAACTGCGATGCTGAAAGCCACGTGGCCACCACCTAGTCGGATCACTGGCCGACAACTTAAAACACACTGGGCATGCACATGCCCAGTAGCCTGACAAGCAGGAGGGCTGGGGAAGGAGATCGCAGCATGATGAAATTCTGCCAACCGTCTCTCTCTCTCCCTTTACCTCTTGTGCACACAGACGCTATCATGAACAAAAATAAACTTAAAAAAATTATACTTAGAAAAAAATCCACAGATATTTGCCAATGAAGGAACACAGTACCTAGGGCCAGCATAGTGATTAAGGTACCGAACTGCCATGTAGCCGACTGTGGTTCAAGTACCAGACCCGATGGCTTGAACTCACACTGGGCCTGTGTGCATACATGCCCAAAATCGCAAGAGGCGAATGGAGAAGGGATTGTGGCATGGCCATCCTTCCTGGGGGGGGGGGCTTCTCCCTTTCTGTCTCTCTGTCTCACTCTGTGTCTCCGGTGAGCACATGCACCCTATAGCAGAAAAAAATCTTGGGACCAGCAGGTAGCATAATGGTTAGCGTATTAGACCCCCCCCACACACGGCCAACTGACATTTGAGTCCCAGACCCAATGACTTGAAACTCACACCAGGTGTGTATGAGCGTGTGCCCCAACTCCAGAGAGGAGAATGAAGAAGGGATTGTGGCATGACCATCCCCCTGGGGGGTGATTTCTCACTTTGTCTCTCTCTGTCTCTTTGCCGAGCACACACATCCTATACTAAAAATCTCATTTTAAAAAAAAAAAAAAAACTCTCAAAACAAAACAAAAACACAGTACCAAACAGCCAATGGGTAAAAGGCAAAACCACATAGGAAATTAGAAAATATTGGGTCGTTGGGAAAGTCATGACGCATTTTGCAAAGAAAAACAGAAAAATACCCGTGACTTTCTCAACGACCTAACACAATGAAATGAAATCACAACATACTTACAGAAAGTAGCAGAAACTGTGGTGGGGAAGTTTATAGCTTTGAATACATACATTAAAAAAAAAATGACCTTCTTTCATGTGAGTCAACAACCAGACTTCACACATCCAGAAAGTTAGAAAAAGAAGAGCAAACTAAACCCAAAGCTAGCAAAAGGAAGGAAATAATAACGATCAGATCAGAGATAAAGGAAATAGAGGAGAGAAAACAACAGAAAAAATCAACGAAATGAAACTAACGACAATTCTTCAGTTAGACTAACAAAAACAGACAGAAAACTCAAATAACTAAAGGTAGAACTGAAAGGGGACATTACAACAGATGCCACAGAAATAAAAGGCTGTAGGAGACCACTGGGAACAGATGTATGCCAACAAATCGGATAACCTAGGGAAAATGGATAAAGTCCACACACAAAGACTGAACCACGGAGAAGCGGAAAATCTGAACAGACCTATAACTAGGAAGGACACTGAGAGGGACGGGAATCAAAAACCTCCAACAAAGAAAAGCCCAAGAGCAGATGGCTTGACGAGTGAATTCTATTAAACACTTAAAAAATAATTAACACCCATCTTCCTGAAACTCTGCTAAAAAGGATTGAAGAGGAAGGTGCCTTTCAAGCTCATTGTATGAGGCCAGCTGTGCACTGCTTGACCGAGGGACCCCGACCCCTACCCACTGTGTGATTCCAGGCCCAGGAGGTGTGCTGTGAAATATGATTCCAACCATCCCCCGGTGCCTCTCCTTGATGACTCTGCAGTACTGTTCTGCCCCCCAGTGCAGAGCCCACCTGCCAACTGGACATGAGTGTACACCTCTGTCACTCTCCCACACCCCCACGCCCCTGCCATTTCACATCCCTCATTTCACCTGTTGATGGAGACAAAGGGTCCCATCTCTGGCCCTGCACCTGGCCTCAAGGACCAGCTGTGTGGTGAGCTGCATTCTAGCCAGGCCCCAGGTAGAGAAGATGAGCTAGCCCATCCCCATCAGTGACAGAAGCACTGGAGGTTTCAGGCCTTCAGAAGGAAACTCTGGCCAAGTCATATCTGGAACCCAAGTGGGTGGGGCCTGGGGTCTGCGTTTGGCCCACAGAGGCAGCCAGTTCCGTCCTGGCTGGAGCTCGCCTGGGAGGGTGGCAAGGTCAGCTGGGCCTTGCTGACCTTGCAGGGCCAGCCCCTGCTACGGCTGACCAGTTCCTAGAGAGCAAACGGCTTGAATGACTCGTTGCCCTCACACCATTCATACTGAAAGCAGCAGCCACACCGCCACACTGCAGCCACTGGCTACCTGTCCTCACCACCCAGGGCCAGGGCCAGAGCTAGACAGCCAGGGAGCAGCTGACCCAGGGCCCACTGAGCACACAGCGAGCCAGCCCCACACCTGCACTCCCTGCCCCAACTATTTCTTGCTGTGGCCCCACTGACAGCTCCTGCCGCAGTCCTGCACCCCTGTACCTGCCCAGACCCCTGTGTCTTCACTGGGCCCCGTGGCACAGTGTCCCCCACCCTCGGCATTGTGAATACTGAACTGTCTATCCAGCACCATCACTTTCCGGCGCATCGGCCCAGCTCTACCCAAGCATGAGGCTTGCATCAGCACAGCCCCTGCTTCTCCCCACCCCGCCGGCTCACCCCAGTCCAGGCACCTCCGCCCTGTACCCACCAACGCCACCTGCACTGGCCACACACATACTCGCCCAGAGCCAGCAGGCCTGATGCAGCCAAATGCCTCGTGGGACGCAGTCGCTCAGTAGAGTTCCCACAAATCCGCGATCTCCCCAAGCCCGGTCCCAACACACCTGGGCCTGCAACTCATAAAGACAACACGTCTGTCCCTCAGAGGACCATAGTCCATGGCTCCCGGCTCCCCAGCTCTCTGGGTCCATGCCACAGTGACGGGAGACTGCCATGCTCTGCGGGTGGCCCTGGAGGTGTCACACCTGTGCCTCAGTGTCTGCACCTGTGACGTGGGCAAGGCGCACTGCCTTCCCACGGGAGTTCTGCCAGGCTCTTGGTGAGCAAAGGGAAATTGCAGGGGTGCCGCCACCAGTGAGATGACCACCACACCCTCCTGGACTCGGGGATGAGCCACCCACAGATGCAGAGCCTAAGCCCAGTGCCTACACTGGCAGGTGCCCTCCTGGCAGATCCCACCCCAGGAACCTGATGGCTGAGAACAGGGTGCAGCGATGCCTGCTTGCACACATCGAACCCCTTCCTCGGAACTGGGAAGGGGAGACCTACCTTGGCCAAGTCAGTGTCCTTCTCGACCCTCGGGGGGCTGTTCTCGGGGTCAGGCTCCTCACCCACATCGCTGTCGGCCTCCTCCCGGGGGGCGTCTTGCCGGGCTTGGTTGTCTGGGCCTGTCTCAGGGTGCAGCCCCGGCACAGTGGGGCTCAGGCCCGCCTCGCCACCCTCCTCGCAGGGGAAGTTCTCGCCGACCAAGCTGGAGGACGGGCTGTCGATCCCGCTGTCCCGGTTGGGGATCTTGGTGCCTCCACTTAGCTCCCCCGCGGGGCTGGGCTCAGGGGGCGTATTGCCTGCCACAGCCAGGCTGCCAGTGCCCTCACCATGGGCACTGGGCCCAACAGGGAGCGCCCGGAGCTTCTCCAGTGAGGGGCTGCCAGCACTCATGCCTGGTGTCCCCAAGGTGGCAGTAGGTTCTTGGGGAGTTGAGGACCCCCTGCCTGACTCCATCATCAAAGCGAAGTTCACCAGGCACCGCTGGAGGCTGCCGGGGGCTTCTGTCAGGGAGAAACAAGCTGGTCTCAGTGTCATCCGGGAGTGGACGAGCCCCTAGGCAGCACCCCTCAGAGACAGTCGGCCCAGAAGAGGCCGGCCTGGGCTGTGAGGGAGATGTGGACATCCAGGCAGCTTCCACTGGATCCTACCCAGACAGGCTTCTGGGCAAGGGCAAGTGTTTGATTTTAAAATTGAGTTTTGCGGGAACCAGCAGTTAGCGTAATGGCTATGTCGCTGGACTCCCACGTAGTCGACCGCGGTTCGTGTCCCGGACCCGGTGGCTTAAAACTCACGCCGGGCGCATGTGCGTGCGTGCGTGCCCAAGATCCCGAGAGGAGAATGGAGGAGAAGGGATTGCGGCGTGACCATCCCCCCTGGGGGGTGATTTCTCGCTTTCTGTCTCTATGTCTGTCTCTGTCTGTCTGGCGAGCGCACGCGCCCTACAGTGAAAATCTCTCCAAAAAAAAAAAAATTGAGTTTTGCGCCAGCCAGTGGCATGCTGATTATGTGGCTGAATCCCACATAGCCGAGATCACGGTTCAAATCCCGGACCTGGTGGTTTGAAAAACATACTGGAAGCGTGTGCATGCATTCTCCAAATCCTAAGAGGAGAATGGAGAAGAAGGGATTGTGGCCAGCCCCTGTGGGGGGTGATTTCTCACTTTCCATCTCTGTCTCTCTGCCTCTCTCCAGTGAGCACACACGCCCTACAGCAAACTAAAATAAAATTAAATTAAATAACTAAAAATAAAAATAAGTTTCTTCTACAGAAGAATGCAAAGTAACCCTGTGGTCGGAGGCGACCTGCTGCTCAATTCAAAATAGACACCCAAAGGCCGACGGCGACCGCCAGTGCGCCACAGCGTCTGTGAGTGGCCTCACGTCCGAGGTGCTTTCAGTGCTGAGCTTCCCCGAGGGAAGGCTGCTGTCACACCGCCTCCTCCCCTCGCGCACTGTGGCCGGCCAGGCAGTGAGAAAAGGCCTCCTCACGCCAAGGCCTGATGCCCCTAGCCACGTCTCCCTCAGGGAGGGCTGGCTGGGAGAGGAGTCTTACCAAGGACAGGGTCTGCCTCTGAATCTGTCCCGTCCTGTGCCCGGAAGCTTCCTGAAACTTGCACCCTGGCCTCTCCTGGAACCGTAGTGGGAGGGAGAGGTAGGCTCGAGTGTCATTCCTAAGTGCTCAGACAACTACCTGGCATCTCTGAGTAAGTCAAAGGTGAAGTTGGGGCAGAGTTCATCCCCTTGAGCCCGTGATGCGTCTGCAGTGGTATGAGGGCCTTGAGTGACTGTCCTTTGTCCGCCCTACCTGATCGATGTCAGCCTCTCCAGTGAGGGCCCTGTGGGTGCCAATCCACGGAGTGGGCGCGGGCTCCCTCTGGTGTCTGGGGTCGGCAGATGGTGCCTGGGGGGTTCCTTGAAAATCTCTTTCTCGTCCAGCAGGTTTGACGTGGGTCTATTTAGGAGGCACTGAAAAACATAGGAGGAGAATGAAAACCACTGTCTCCAACTGGCGTTTGGGGGAGCCAGAAGCCCCAGTTCCACAAGGAGCGGCAGAGAAGGGCACTTCCATGTCACCACCCAATGCAGGGGACGAAGAGGCAGGGCACGGACGTCTGTGGGGAGCCCCCAGGCCAACACACAGCCCCAGAAGGGCAGGGCCTGAACCAGTGGCCATACCCCCTTGAGGGGCAGTGTCTTGGCTTGGCTTGAAACTCTGGGGCCAGAACCAAGCTTGTCCCTGGCCACACAGCACCCATAGCCAGAAAGGAAGGGTCGCCTAGAAGGTACAGGCGTGTCCTGGTGACAAGAGAGCCCAAGAGCACCCACGCCGCTCCCCAGCCCATTCCCACCCTTCCCAGATGCATGCACTCACAGCTTCCTCCTACACACACTCACGGCTTCCTCCCGCACGCACGCCGACATGCCGGCCCCTGCATGCCCAGATATCTGGGAGGCAACTTCACGCGCTTCCTTCCTCGCTCGCTCATCGGTGAAGGCACTTGGCACGCTCCCATGCACACGACGGTGAGTGCCCAGGCCTGCCCTGTGCTGTGCAGGGACGGTCAGGCTCCGGAGGCTCCCTGGGGCCGGGAGAGCCAGCCAGTGCCCGGGCGGAGCTCCTCCCCACACGCACAGCCTCCTGGGTGCTCACTGTCTTGAGGTAAAGCTACTTTTGAGTGGACCTTTCTCAAAGTGACTCCAAAATCACTTCAAGTGGACTCTTGTCATTGGCCACTGCCACATTCTTAACGAGCTTAATGGGGAGAAGTACTACGATTTCTAAACAGCAAGTACACGTTTTGCTGCATTCCTCTCATAGCACGGGCGGTAAACTCGGGTTTCCAGGAGTCAGACACAGCACAGATAACACGTCCACGGGGCGAGCGTGCCTTCCCCATGTGCGCGGAGGCAGCTGTCTGCAGGGCAGAGCCCGGTTCCTCCATCCGGGAAACTGGGCCTATGGCCACGCCGGAGGAGCAGAAACCAGACAGACTCTCCCCGAAACCATGAAGAAGGAGCATGTGAGGCCGCTGGGAAGGAGCCAGACACGGACCGTGACCCCTGAGAGATGGGACACACAAGGTCGCTGGCCCCTTGTCCCGGCCCACTGCCTGGAGACATTACGAGCATGAGCAAAGGGGGCCCAGTGGCGTCTCCCTACTGAGCAGAGAAGGCAGAGCCAGGGTCCTGGGAGACCACAGAGGCCAGGGTTCACAGGAGAGAGTCCTGGAGAGGAGACTGCGCTGACAGAACCCGGGAGCCACAGGGAGCCTCTTGGGGACTGTCCAGCATGTGCTCAGAAGAAAACCACAAGAGGGTGGAGGAAGAACCATCCGCAAGGCCCAGAGGGAGTGACTCCGATACTGCACAGGGAACACAGCCGGCCGGAAAGCCCCCAGGCTCGTGGACATCACTCGGGAGGTCTTGCCTCGATGCTGGGGATAGCAGGCCCACAGGGATGGCTGTTCTGGTCCCACACAGCGCTTATTAGCAAGTCTCAGGAGGAAGGCCCAAGTGTCTGCCACTTAACTGCGCCTCTGAACAGTCAAGCATACTCGGAGGAATACAGAACATCCAGTGAAGCAAAAACCACGCTGTCTGGCAATCAATCAAAAGTGGGGACTGCACAACCCAGAAGGGAAGTCCAGTCAGCTGACCCGGACCTAAAGCCGGCACAGATGTTGGAATTAGTGGGAGCGATGCTAAGACAACAGCCATGCCTATATTCCACTATGCCTGAAAGCTGGGTAGAGATCAGAAGACCTAACAAGCCCCACGTGTGTGCCAGCAGGTAGCCTGGACGTTAAGGCAGCTGGATCTCATGTGGCCACCACACAGTTCGAGTCCCAGACCCACTGGCTTGAAAAACACTCAGGGTATGTGTGCATACCCAAAATCCCAAGAGGAGAATGAAGGGACTATGGCATAGCCATCTCCCCTGGGTACTGTCTTCTCACTTTCCCTCCTGGGCCGGCCACTCTGCAGGGTTCAGGCCTGCCCACTTGTGGCTGCTGTGTGCTTTCACACGTGTGCACACATACAACCCATATACAGGGATAGTGCTGTGCACTTTCTCTTGGTTGCTCATTCACAACCTGCTCACACTTGGGCCTGCTCACACCTGGGCTGGCTCTTACCTACAGGCTGCTTACATCTGTGGCTGCTCATACCTAGGGCCTGCTCACACATAGGCCTGAACACACCTGCAGGCTACTCACACCTGTGGCCTGCTTACACCTGGGCCTGCTCATACCTGGGCCTGCTCACACCCATGCTGTCTCACTCCTGCAGCCTGTTCGCTCCTGCAGCCTGTTTACATCTAGGGCCTGCACCTACCTGAGGTCTGCCCACACTTAAGGCCTGCTCACACCTGGAGACTGCACACACCTGTGGTCTGCTCACACCCATGGCCTACAGGTGACATTCATGAACACGGCTCACACCTTTCAAAGTTCCTTCTGTTGCTGAAAACGGTGGGAGTTCTCTTTAGAAAGCTTAGAAATCCTGGAAAGCGAACAGGAAATAATAAGGACGTGTGCCCTTGTGCCCAATGTGACTGCGGCAGGCGGCAGGTCACATGGAGGCCGGCTCTCCCGTGCGGCAGCGTCTCTCAGGGCAGGCCCCTGCTCCAACTCACACCTCCTTCAGTCCGTGCGTCCTCAAGACGCTTCTCCCCAAAGGGGGTAAATCAGGTCTTAGGTACTTGTGCCCACACTCACAACTCTGCCCCAGGCTCCCATCTCTGCCCCGTGCTCACTTGTGTGCACACGCTCACCTGTGTGCCCACGCTCACCTGTGTGCCCCACGCTCGCCTGTGTGCCCACGCTCACCTGTGTGCCCATGTTCACCTGTGTGCCCACATTCACCTGTGTGTGCCCACGCTTACCTGTGTGCCCCATGCTCACATTTCCGTCCCACGCTCACCTGTGCCCAACGCTCACCTGTGTGCCCACGCTGTGTGCCCATGCTCACCTGCGTGCCCCATGCTCACCTGTGTGCCCTGCGCTCACCTGTGTGCCCCATGCTCACATCTCCGCCCCTCGCTCACATCTCCACCCCACGCTCACCTGTGTGCCCATGCTCACCTCTGTGCCCCACACTCCACTCACCTGTGTGCCCCACGCTCACCTGTGTGCCTGCGCTGTGTGCCCGTGCTCACCTGCGTGCCCCACGCTCACCTGTGTGCGCTGCGCTCACCTGTGTGCCCACGCCCACCTCTGTGCCCCACGCTCACCTGTGTGCCCCACGCTCACCTTTCCACCCTGCGCTCACCTCTCCACCCCACACTCACATTTGTATGCCATGCTCACAGCAGCTTTAATCACAAAACTGATAGGTCCCAAGGAGTCCATCACAGATGAACACACACACACAGAACGAGTGGTCCGTCCATCAAACAGAATAGTTTTTCCATCTAATCATTTATTTCTTCCATGGGAGAGAGACACACAGACACCCAAGCAGAGTCTCTGTGCTATGGTTCACTCCCAGCCTCGACCAGCCCAGATCACGGGCACTCAGCATGCACGGGAGGCCCTGGGCTGTGAACCCAGGACCATCCTATGCTGGTGCAGCATCACAGAGCAGTTCACTACTGCTGCACCACCAGCTGGCCCCACACAGTGGGATATCATCCAGCCTTGAAAAGGAAAGAGGTTGAGCCAGCAGGTGGCATGGAGGTTAAGGCACTGGATCCCACATAGCTAGTTGCACGGTTCGAGTCCCAGACCTGGCATCTAAAGAATCATGCCAGGGGCTTGGCATGTGTATCCTAAATCCCAATAGGAGACTAGAAGAAAAGGGACTGTGGTGTGGCCATTGCCCTTGAGGGTGATTTCTCACTTTCCCTCTCTCTCTCTGTCTTTCTGTCTCTCTGGTGAACGTACACTCTATGGCAAAAATAAAAAAGGGAAAGACATCCTGACAGATGCCACAACAACGCTGGTGACGTTACATGAGTGAGATTAGCTGGTCACACAAGGACAAGTGCTTGTGATCCACGTAGATGAGGTGCCCAGTGACACATTCACAGAGATGCAGGGAGGACTCGAGCTCACTGGGGTAATGGGGGAGGGGAGGGAGAGCTGCTGCTGAGCAGGGACAGTCCCTCCGGGGAGATGGGGAGATGGGGATGCTGTGGCTGTGTGGTGGTGACAGTGCGCGTGGTGGAGACATGGTTGGAGATGGTGTGTGTGTGGTGGTGATGGTGTGCATGGTGGTGACGGTGCACATGGTGGTGATGATATGCATGGTGGTGATGGCGCACATGGTGGTGATAGTATGCATGGTGGTGACAGTGCGCATGGTAGTGATGGTGTGCGTGGTGGTGATGGCGTGGTGGTGACGATGGTGTGTGTTGGTGACAATGCATGTGGTGGAGACGGTGCGTGTGGTGGTGACGGTGCATGTGGTAGATACGGTATGTGTAGTGGCGACTGTGTGCAGTGGAGACTGTGTGGTGGAGGTGACGGTGCGTGTGGTGATGATGGTGTGTGTTGGTGACAATGTGCATGGTGATGACAGTATGTGTGGTGATGATGGTGTGTGTGATGGAGACAGTGCACTTGGTGGTGACGGTGTGTGTTGGTGACAATGCACGTGGTGATGATGCTGTGTGTGGTGGTGATGATGTCCATAGTGGAAACGTGTGTGGTGGAGATGGTGCACATGGTGATGACAGTGTAGGTGGTGGAGACAGTGAACATGGTGATGACGGTGTATATGGTGGAGACAGTGCGCATGGTGGTGATAGTGTGTGTGGTGGAGGTGACAGTGTGTGTGGTGGTGACGGTGGTGACGGTGCATGTGGTGGAGATGGTGCACGTGGTGATGACGGTGTGTCTGGTGGAGACGGTGTATGTGGTAGAGGTGATGGTGTGTGGTGGTGACAGTGTGTGTGGTGGAGGTGACGGTGATGGTGTGTGGTGGTGACGGTGCGTGTGGTGGAGGTGACGGTGTCTGTGGTGGAGACGGTGTGTGTGGTGGTAACAGTGTGTGTGGTGGTGATGGTGTTTGTGGTGGAGATGGTGTGTATGGAGGTGAAGGTATGTGTGGTGGTGACAGTATATGTGGAGGTGATGGTGTGTGTGGTGGAGACGGTGTGTGGTGGAGGTAATGGTGTGTGGTGGAGGTGACGGTATGTGTGGTGGTGACGGTATATGTGGGGGGG